GTCAGACACTTAATCAACTGAGCCACCAAGTGCCCCTTAACTGGATTCTTTTATTGTTATTGGATTATATGAGTTCTTTATATATTTTGGATATTAACTCTTTACAGGATATACAATGTGCAAATATTTTTTTTCTGTTTTCATAGGTTGCCTTTCATTTCATTGGTTTTTACTGTGCAGAGAAGGTGAACAATCTATATCCTGAAAACTACAAGATTTTAATGAAAGAAATTTAAGAAGACACACACAGATAGATATTTCGTGTTCATGGATCAGAAGAATTCAGATAGTTAAAATATCCATACTATCCAAAGCCAATATAGATTCAATGCATTGACTATCAAAATTCCAGTGACATTTTTCACAGGAGAAAAAAAAAAAGCAGTTCTAAAATTTGTGTGGTATTACAAAAGATCCTAAATAGCCAAAGCAGTCGTGAGAAAGACGAACAAACTTGGAGGCATCACACTTCCTAATTTCAAATTATGCTACAAAACTATAGTAATCAAAACAGTGTGGCACAGGCATAAAAATGACAGATCAGTGGCACAGAATTAAGAGCTCAGAAAGGGAAAAGGATGGTCCCTTTTATAAATGGTGTTGGGAAAACTGGATAACTACATACTGAAGAATGAAATTAACCCATATCTTACACTACTCACAAAAATTAATTTGAAATGGTTTAAAGACTTAACCATAGGAACTGAAACCATAAAACTAAAGAAAACATAGGGAAAGAGCTCGGCATTGGCCTTGGCAGTGATTTTTTGCATATGACGCAAAAGCACAGCAATGAAAGCAAAAATTAGTAAGTAAGACTACATCGAATTAAAAATCTTTGCACAGTAAAACAAACGACAACAACAACAACAACAAAAATGAGAGGCAATCTATGTAATGGGAAAAAAATCTATGTAACGGGAAATTTTATTCCTAAATATTATATCATTCTCAATGCTATTGCAAATGGGATTGCTTTATTTTTCAGATATTTTGTTGTTATAGAAATGCAACTATTTTCTGCACGTTGATTTTGTATCCTGCAACTTTACTGAATCCATTGATTAGTTCTAATAGTTTTTAGTGGAGTTTTTAGGATTTTTCTAGATAGAAGATCATATCGTCTGCAAACAAAGACAATTTTACTTCTTTCTGTCTGATTTAGATACCTTTTCTTTCTTTTTCTTGCTCTGGCTAGGACTTCCAGTACTATACCGAATAGGAGTGGTGAGAGTGGGCCCTCTTCTCTTGCTTCTGATCTTAGAGGAAAAACTTTCAACCTTTTACCATTGAGTATGTTTTAGTCAGTGTTTAGTGTTTATATTATCAGTACCTAAATAACATTCACAACTGATCCAAGTAGTGTATTCTTTTTAAAAATTGTGTATTTATTTATTTTTATTGAAATATAAACCAAGTAGTATATTCTGATTCTAGTTCCTTCCCTATACAACTTTTGGGTTTTCCTGAAGTTAATAATTGTTTCACATTTTACATTTGCTTGGTTTCCCATGGGCTTTACTAAATGCTTTATCAAAGTGTAAATCTTTACTTGTTTAAACACATCTGGTATTCTCTTAGTTTTCTTTCCCTACCCCTCCCTTCCCTTGGAGACATGCCTCCTGGAGCCCACTGCTCTCCTGCTCCTCCTTGGCCTGGATATTTTTGATAACTGCTATATAGCTACCCTTCTGGGAATTCCCTGTTCTTCTTTACTGTGTTGGAGCCCATTTCCTGAAACTCCTATTTTTCTCCCTGGCTTACTCACTCATTTCAGAGGAGAACACCCTTCCCAGGAAAGGAGATGGAGAAAAACATCTTCTGGGATGTTGCAGTTCTGAACATGACTTTATTTTCTTTACCTTTGATTGACAGTATGAATACTTATAGAATTCTAGTTTTGGAAATAATTTCTTCTTAGAATTTTGACAAGTTTGCTCCATCGTTTTCCTCGTTCAGAGTTGCTGTTGAACATCAGACTCCATTCTAGTTCTTGATCCTTTGCCTGTGATCTAGTTTTCCCCTTAGAAGCTTCTGGGATCTTCCCTTTACTCACGTCCTCTAACTCTGGGAAATTTCCTTTGATAACTTCCTCCTTTCTCTTTCCTTTGTTCTCTATTTTTGGAACTTGTATTAGTTAGATGTTGAGTCTCCAAAATGTATCCTCTAACTTTTTATCCTTCCTTTATTTTCCATCTCTTTGTCTTTTTGCTCTACCTTCTATAACAATTTTTCAATTTTATATTTTAATTCTTCAGAAGAAAATTTTCACTTTTGCAATCATATTTTTTATGAATTTATTTTTTATTGGTGTTCAATTTGACAGCATATAGAATAACACCCAGTGCTCAGCCCGTCAAGTGCCCACCTCAGTGCCTGTCACCCAGTCACCCCCACCCCCTGCCCACCTCCCCTTCTACCACCCCTAGTTCGTTTCCCAGAGTTAGGAGTCTCTCATGTTTTGTCTCCCTTTCTGATATTTCCACTCATTTTTTTCTCCTTTCCCCTTTATTCCCTTTTACTATTTTTTATATTCCCCAAATGAATGAGACCATATAATGTTTGTCCTTCTCCGATTGACTTATTTCACTCAGCATAATACCCTTCAGTTCCATCCATGTCGAAGCAAATGGTGGGTATTTGTCGTTTCTAATGGCTGAGGAATATTCCATTGTATACATAGACCACATCTGCTTTATCCATTCATCTTTTGATGGACACCGAGGCTCCTTCCACAGTTTGACTATTGTGGACATTGCTGCTAGAAACATCGGGGTGCAGGTGTCCCGGCATTTCATTGCATCTGTATCTTTGGGGTAAATCCCCAGCAGTGCAATTGCTGGGTCGTAGGGCAGATCTATTTTTAACTCTTTGAGGAACCTCCACACAGTTTTCCAGATGCAATCATATTTTTAATGACTAAGATGCCTTTCATTTTTTTTCTTGGTACTTATTTTATGGATGCAGTATTTCTTTATTCTTTCTGAGGATATTACAGAGTTTTTGTGGAGTTCTTTTTTGGTCATTTTCTTCTGCTTGCATTGTCTCTATTTCCCTTAAATTCCCTTTGTTTTGTTCATTTTGATCTTTTTCTTTCACTAGAGGTTTTTCTGTGAATGTTGAATCATCACTGACTACCAATTTATATCTAAGACTGAGGCACTAAAGAGTGAATTGGAAGCTCTGTATGAGGGGTGACAGTTGTCTGGTTCAGTCAAGGAATCATTTCACTGGGGATCCCCTTCCCCACCACATGGCATTATCTGCAGGTCTTTACTTTGGGTTGGTAATTTCTCCAAAGAAGAATCCTCTAATCTCTTGCCAGGGGAATATCAACCTGGCTGTCAGCATCCTAGGAGCTGAGCCATGGAATGCATGTTGGTGGCAGTGGGGGTCCTCACTATTCAGTATTTAGACTTTTACTTATCTGCCCTTCTTTCAGTACAGAACCTTACCTCCAGCTTCAGTGGTGCCAGATACCCCAAGGTCTGAACCCTTTCTGGTTTACCCGTCCAGAAAGCAAAGCTCCTGTCTTCTGTTGGCTTGGAGAAGGGGCCCTGGAGCCTAACTGTTCCTTAGGCAGTCCTGTAACTAACCTTCAGAAATACATTTTACACTTGAATTCCTGGGCCTCTCTAGGTGTTTGTGGCTCAAATCAGCCTGTATCTTATTTTCACCTCCTCTCCCCACCGTCCCCCCTCCCCTCCCAGATGAGCCTTGCTAGGTTTGTCCTTGTCAGCTCCGTAGCTACTCATCCATCTTCTCTGCAGCTTTCAACATCTGGTTGATTATTTCTTTTCTCTGTCATTTCCTTTTCTATTGTCCTTGTGTGTTTATGCTTCTTTCATTCGTTCTTTCATGATTTGGAGAGGGAGAGGAGTTGGGGTAGGAGGAGGGGTTAGAGATACAGATACATGCTTCACTGGAAGTCCAAACCAAAAGCCCCCATGGAAAATGGTTTGGTTTTGTGATTCTAAGATAACACAAAATCACTATTGTCAGACAGATGTTAGCTGCTGGTGCAACGTGGTTAGAATAATCTTTGCTCCCCTACTCAGGAGCAAGCAGCACGCCACCCACCTCCAGTGGCTCTGAGGTTCTCAAGGCTAAGGACTATAAGCTCTGTGTGCATCCTACAGAGTCTCTGATGATGAAAGCTCTCAAACAACACCCCTGTATTAAAACCCACAGTGCTCCTTATTGTCGGGAGGTAATTGCTCATTGGGATGAATCATCCCTGGTTGACTTTCTTACCCCCACGAAATATTCATGCTTATCTGCTCATTTGGTCTGGGAGATTAGAGGAGGATCAGCCCTATCATGAAATAAACTTCCTGTCCTCAGTCCAACCCTGTCATTGTCCTGGCCTGCTCTACTTGCCTGTGGTTTTATCCTTGCCCCATGGAGAGTCACACACACAAATGAGGTAAAAAGTTCGGGGGTGTGTGTGTCCTCAATTATTTTGATGAGGTAATGGGGTGAGAACACTTAACTAAGTATCACGGTGAACAAAGAAGTAATTAATTCACTAGTACTTAAGTATATGAACACAAACTCTATTTTATTGCTATATACAATTTCCTTAGGATTTAAAATTATTTCCCAAGAAAACATTTTCCTCATTTTACACAAGATAAATAATGCTCACAGAACTTACTGAAGTGTGTTCCAAATAGACCAGTATTTTTTTTAAGTTTGAAGTCAAAAAGAATGGATACTTACAGAAGTCAACCTTTCCTTTCCGACGTCTTTCAACTCTAAGCAGTTGGATTATACCCCTGTTTTGCTTTCCTCTGCATTTTCTAGCTTAAGGCAAAAGAGCTTGGAAATGTGACAAATTTAAGGTATAATATTTCTTTTCACTTCCAAAGGAGCATCCTGCTCTGATTTTTACCTTAGGTTTTACTTCTGCCAACCCCTTTTAAAACTCCAAAGTATCTTTCATGATACTTGACTTGAAGGATGTAGACAAATCAAGAGCAGTAACATGCAAGACCTACCTGTTGAAGTAGCAAGTGACCAGTGCCCCAGCTATAGTCATCTGCTGGCATGTGAGGATGAATTCGCTGGTCCAGATGAGGCCAATTAAATGGTACCACCACATATACCGAATGCCTACAAGAGGCTGATATTCCACTTGGCCACCTTCAATAACCTGTGCAGCTCCTAAAGTTTAAAACACAAACATGCTTTACCTCAATGTTTGCCCAACCACGGGAGATGATTCAATGGGCCATACTTCCTTGTAGCTGGCCGTTAGCATTATGCAGACTCACAGATGCCAAAGTAAAGTTGGAAGCATCCACCCTAATTTGATATCTTCATAGCAAAAATTGAAAAATGAGAACACACTTTTAACTTATGAGTAATATCAATAACAATATTCATGATGACTGATGGGTAGGTAATTTGCGAGACACTTGAACTATACAAACTCTAATGCTCATCCCACTTTGTAGATAGGAAAACTGAGGTTTGGGAGAGTCAGGAAACTTTTTTTTTTTTTAAGATTGTATGTATTTATTCATGAGAGACACAGAGAGAGGCAGAGACACAGGCAAAGGGAGAAGCAGGCTCCTGAGCCTGATGCGGGACTCAATCCCTGGACCCTGAGATTACGATGTGAGCCAAAGGCAGATGCTCAACCACCGAGCCACCCAGGTGTCCTGAGTCAAGAAACTTTTGATAAACTCTCACTGCTCATGATCAGGGAAAGGAGAATATAAATCCTGATATGCCAGATTCTAAAATTTATAGTTTTTCTACCACACTTCTTTGTGATACAAACAAAATTTGTTATGTGGGTGAAATCACACAAAGCCATTAGGACAATAGCCTAGAACTCTGCTTCACCAAAAATTTAGAGTTTATAAAAGACCCAAAAAGCTTCATTTTTTCAAAGGGATTCATTTCAGATTTCACTGCAAGGGCAAACTCTTCTAGCACATTTAAAATACCTATTGGGTCTCAATGGTAACTTTCTAGTTCATATCTCAGCTTGAGCCTTTCCTGGTTAGCCCAGGTCAAGATATTTAGTCTCCTTAGGTATAATGTCCATTTCCTGCTGGTAGTTGGAATGAGATTACATGGGAAATGCTTAATATAAGGCCTGGTCCGTAAAAATTTCATTCCATAAATGATAATGATTGAATGAAGTTTCAGGAACTCAATACTGTGTTAAACCAGGCCAGCAGGGTCATCCCGACAGTGCTCTACCTTTGACATGGCTATACCCTCTTTTATTTGCCCTCAGCTAAAGAAGCCCCTGAATTAGCTCTCAATTCAATTCAGTTCAGGTTGGATTTAGTAAATCCAAATCCCAGCTCTGTGGCTATGTTTGATTTCTAGATGTTCTCCATTATATGTTTAGAATAAACCACTGTTATGTAAGAAGACAGGCACTTCAGTCTTTAGCAAAGCCTACAACTTGAGCAACATTTAAAGGTAGTTTTATATTTTCCTTTATAGCTATAAATTGGTTTTAGGTTCATAATTCACGTGTCTATAGACATTCACAATAGGGTCCCTGCAGAGGAAGTGGGAGAAGATAATCATGCTGTAGAACAATCTGATTCCATGGACCACGGCTAGCCTTAGTTCCTTAGGCTCTGTGTTCTGCTGAACAAGAGTCACATTGTGAGAAACGGTGGAGAGGCTTGATTTACAGATTAGTTAATATTTATTGAGCACTGGGCTCTTTCTGGCTTGGAAGCAATCTCTGTTTCAGGTACGGCACTGATAAACATTTATGCTTTTCCAAAATGGGTGTGTTTCAGGAAAGCATTCCCAGGGCTATCGGAGCTGACCCCTCACCACTAACACAGTTTGGGTAGATCGGGTCAGTGGAGACTTGGAGAATCACTTCATCGAATATCAGAAGTGACCAGGGCCAGTCAACAAGCACACTGTTACTTCCTGCCAGGTCAAGTCCTGGGGATAGACTACAGTTTTGCAAAAACAGGTCTACAACAAAACAAATAGTTTGGGGGTGGAAAATGTTCCCACAGAACAAGAGGAATGCTTTCTTTGACAGATGAAAGGTAAATACAGAGGCCCCGGATGCTAAAGGGGAATGGTCTCTCTTCTTGGCTGCCCTGCACTGTCAGGGGCACACTCACATATATTTCAGCTTGGCATATTTCAGTCCTAGCGACTGGAGAGTGGCTAAAGTGATTAAGACAAGGTTCATACCAGTCTTCAAGCCCTTGGCATTCCCCAAAGAAGCAGAAGCCAAGCAGCAGTAAGCTTGTAAGTTACTCTGGTCATTGCTGTTTTATTTTATTTTATTTTTAAAAAATATTTTATTTATTTATTCATGAGAGAGGCAGAGACACAGGCAGAGGGAGAAGCAGGCTCCATGCAGGGAGCCCGACATGACACTCGATCCCAGGACTCTGAGATCACGCCCTGAGTCAAAGGCAGACGCTCAACCGCTGAGCCACGCTGGCATCCCTGGTCATTGCTGTTTTAGAGTCCCTTTGTCTAAGCCACCTTCTATTTGTTCCTCTGGTTCGGTTATAGCAGGCTGTTTACAGACTTTCCTTGAGATTAGGGTTTCACAACTTCTCAACAAACCAACTGACATTTTGGTGCAGATAATCCTTCGTTGGGGGTGGGAGGCTACCCTGCACACTGTAGGATGTTTAGCATTAATCCTGGCCTCTACCCACTAGATGCAGGAGCAACTTTCCTCCCCACCTCCAGTTATGAACTAAAAGGTCTCCAGACATTGCCAAATGCCACCTGGGGGACAAACCTACTGCTCCAAAACCTCTGCTTTAGGCAAACATTCTCTGAAGAATCAGGCCTTGTGGTCTCAGAGGGAAAGCCTGGAAAGGGGTGGTTGCAGCCTGTGGGTGGGGCAGGCGTGGTCATGCGCACAAGACTGCCCTCTCCTGGAGGACGGTGTCCGTGCAAGCGAGAGCCCTCAGGACCAGCCCCTTTGTTGCTAGACTGTTTCACTCTAGCTACCTACTAGGCGTAGGCAACACGCGATAACAGGAACTGGACTTCAGGTAGATCCCAAGATAGGATAGCTCCCAGGGATGATGGTGCAAAGGGCACTGAATTGGGAGAGGACTCGGTCCCACTCTCAGCTTTGACACATGTGATAAGCAACCTGGGCCTTTGTCCTCTCATTGTCAAGGAGAAGATGGTGGACAAGATGAACCCTGAGGCAGTGGTTACAGGCTTGGGCTTGCGTCCCACAGGCTGAGATTCGTATCTCTGCACCATCCCCTAATGGCCGACCAGCCTCAGGCAGGTCATGGGACCTTGGAACACCTCTGTTCCATCACTTGTAATGTGAAGACACTAATACCCGCTCCTTGCACACTTGGTGACCCCGTCCACTCTTGTGACTCCAAGTACCACACCCGCAGCTGCTATGGGATAAAGTGGGTAAGACACTTGGAAGTGTGAGTACCCAATACAGGGGTAGCTATAACTGAAATACAGGTAAAGAGAATTCCAGCTCTGGAGTTAGCAAAATTTTTAAAAAAGATTTTATGTATTTATTTGACCCAGAAAGAGAGGATAAGCTAGGGGAGTGGGAACTGGAGAGGCAGAAGCAGGCTCCCCGCTGAGCAGGGAGCCCGACGTGGGGCTCCATCCTAAGACCCTGGGATCTTTACCTGAGCCAAAGGCAGCCCTTAACTGACTGAGCTCCCCAGGTGCACCTGGAGTTAACAAATATTTATTAAGCAACTACTGCATGTTGGAATGATGCTGGACATTAGCCATTAAGGGGGGAACATGAAAGAAGCAAAGAATCAGAAAGAAGACCCCATCTGAGTGACTATCAGGAACTCACATGGTGCTTTACCAGTCTCTCCATCTCCCCTTCAACTTCTAAAGGTTTCCTCCCATTGCCACACTCTGTCGATGGAGACCTACTTCTAGTTTCTAGGAGAAAAGGGAGCAATTGGCAAGCTTGTGCGGGTGTCTACCCCCAACAGCTTACCTGGTCAGCATAAGCCGTAGCCTGACCCCCACTTAATGTGATAAACTGTCCGTAATCCTCCACTGGATCCCCCCCCCCCATCTTCTGATGACAGCTCTTCAGCAATTCTCGCCTCCTGCTTCCTTCACCTAAGTATTCCTCTCCATGGAATCATTTTTAACCATCTCTCATCTTTGAAAGAAAAACAAACCCTACTCTTGACTCTCCTCCTCTCACTTCCTTGCCATTTCTCTCTTCCTCCTTAAAAACATTTTTTAAGGTTATATACTTTTTTATTTTAATATAATCTCTACCCCCAATGTGGGGCTAGAACTCATGACCCCAAGACCTAGCGTTCCACGCTCCTCTGAGTGAACCAGCCAGGTGCCCCTTTGCTCCTCTTTTGTGGCCAAACTGCTCAGGATTGTGTCTACATACACCGCAATCCTTTTCTCCCTCTTCAAGCCACTCGGATCGTGATCCACTCCCCTCAGATTTCACTGAAGCCGTTTTGTTGCTAAATTCATTGGTCAGTCCTCAGGTCTTACCTCGCTTAGCAGTAGCATTTGACACATCGGACGCCACTAACATGTCCCTGGCGTCCTTCACCCGAACTCCAGGACACTTTCCATCCTCCTGCCCTGGGGCTGCTCCTGGCCGGCCTCAGTTTCTGTTCTTCCTCAGCTCCAGAAATCTCTTCCACTGAAGGTCCCCGAAACAAGTCCTCGGATTGGCTCTCTCCTCTCTCTGCCCTCCTTCTACTCCCGTGGTTTTAAATACCATTTATATGCTCCCCAATTCCCAAATGTAGATCTCTAGCTCGGATGGCTCCAAAAACCTCAGCTTCAAACTGCTCATCCCCCGCTTGACATCTCCATCTGGCTGCCAAGAAGATGTCTCAGTTAACATGATCAAAACCTATATAATCCCCCATAAAAAGCTCCGCTCAGAGTCTTGCCCCCTCTCAGCTGACAGCAGTCCCATCCTTCAGTTGCTCAGTGTCACCTCTAGATCTCTCCTCTCCACTAATATATCAGGAAATCCTTCAGAATAGACTCAGAATCTGATATGTCGCACCTCATCCATTATTATGCCAGCATCATCTCCTCCCCGGATGGCTGTTAGAATGTACATCGGATCGCGTCACTATTCTGCTTAAAACTGTAATGACTTCCCAGGTCAGATCAGAACCAGAGTTCCTATAAAGGCTACAAGGCCCAAGGAT